TATAGGTATTACCTTATTACTTTGTGTGTTTGAGTATGTCATTACAAGTTTGTTTTCTGTCAGTTGACAAGACCACCATAATTATTTTTATGATTTTTAAGTATCGTGTTAGAAACTAAAGGAAATATGACGGGACCCCTAAACTTAGAGGTTTGTAATCAAATTGGTTATTAGAGTGTACAATTATAATCTGGTACAAAGCAGATAGCAAATGAGTGATGTTTCAAGTGTTAATGTTGGGATGGTTCTAACAGATTTCACAAGGCATTCTGAGTCAGGCCTTGAGTACATACAGAAAGGTCAAGGTAAAAGGCTAAGACATGAGTGCTCCTTGTGTTTACGTAGTTCCTCTTTAATACATGGGTTTAAATAGAGTTGATATTAAAGGGTCTTATGACTAAAGAGTTTATAGTTGGAAGCCAGAAAAATGCTTTTGAGTAATGGATGCATTAAAGAAATAGGTTTTTTATTTATTTTATTTATTTATTTTTATTTTTTGACAGGCAGAGTGGACAGTAAGAGAGAGAGAGAAAGGTCTTCCTTTACCGTTGGTTCACCCTCCAATGGCCACTGCGGCCTGCGCACCACGCTGATCCGAAGGCAGGAGCCAGGTGCTTCTCCTGGTCTCCCATGGGGTGCAGGGCCCAAGTTGGGCCATCCTCCACTGCACTCCCGGGCCACAGCAGAGAGCTGGCCTGGAAGAGGGGCAGCCGGGACAGAATCTGGCGCCCCGCCTGGGACTAGAACCCGGTGTGCCGGCGCCGCAAGGCAGAGGATTAGCCTAGTGAGCTGCAGCGCCGGCCTAGAAATAGGGCTTTTAGAAACTTGATAATTCAGTTAAATTGCTTTCTTTCTTTTTTTTTTTTTTATTTATTTTTTTTTAATTTTTTTTTTTTTTTATTTTTGACAGGCAGAGTGGACAGTGAGAGAGAGAGACAGAGAGAAAGGTCTTCCTTTGCCATTGGTTCACCCTCCAATGGCTGCCGCTGCAGCTGGCGCACCGCGCTGATCCGATGGCAGGAGCCAGGAGCCAGGTGCTTTTCCTGGTCTCCCATGGGGTGCAGGGCCCAAGCACCTGGGCCATCCTCCACTGCACTCCCTGGCCATAGCAGAGAGCTGGCCTGGAAGAGGGGCAACCGGGACAGAATCCGGCGCCCTGACCGGGACTAGAACCCGGTGTGCCGGCGCCGCAAGGTGGAGGATTAGCCTATTGAGCCACGGCGCCGGCCCAGTTAAATTGCTTTCTTAAATGAGAGGTATGAAGTACTTTTTTCATAATTACAGATTAGATAGTGCTAATGTTCTGTGTATAGATTAGGAAATTGACCCTTTACTGTCAGTTTTTGCCATGGTTATGGGAGGTGAGGTGATTGTTCTGTTAACAAACATCTCTCCCAGTTGAATAAGACTTTAAGTTTTCTGTAGGTCTCTACCCTGGCAAGTACTGTATATTTTTCTAGGCATATGCAGGTATTCAAAAGGGTTTCAAAAGGTTCATGGAAAATAGAATTAAAAGTTTATTTTGGCACAAAAAAGAGTGTTGAAATTCATGTACACAAGGAGTCTTCAAAGAGTTCATAAAAAAAAAGTATTATGAAAAAGCAGTGTATGAATTAAAAAAAAAATTGTACCAAAAATCAAAAGGTAGAGTTACAGAGAGAGAGAGAGAGAGAGAGAGAGAGAGAGAGATCAACATCTGCTGGATCACTCTCCAAAATGGCCGTATGGCTGGGTAAGCACATGGGCACTTTCTGCTGCTTTCCCAGGCTCATTAGCAGGGAGCTGGATCGAAGTGGAACAGCTAGGGCTGGAATGGGTGTTCATTTGGGATACCAGTGTACCAGGTACAATGCTGACCCCTTGTACCAAAAATTATGAGTTCATTTTCTACAAACTTTTTGAAGTACCTTTGTACATGGATAATAAAGGCTGTGTGTGATTATTTCACCTAATGTTACACCAGGCTATGTGCAATGGAAAAAGTTAATGAAAACAGGCCGGGGCGTGGCTCAATAGGCTAATCCTCCGCCTGCAGCGCCGGCACCCTGGGTTCTAGTCCCGTTCGGGGCGCCGAAATCTGTCCCGGTTGCCCCTCTTCCAGGCCAGCTCTCTGCTGTGGCCCGTGAGTGCAGTGGAGGATGGCCCAAGTGCTTGGGCCCTGTACCCGCATGGTAGACCAGGAGAAGCATCTGGCTCCTGGCTTCAGATCAGCCCAGAGTGCCGGCTGCAGCGCGGTGGCCATTGGAGGGTGAACCAACAGCAAAGGAAGACCTCTCTCTCTGTCTCTCTCTCTCACTGTCCACTCTGCCTGTCAAAAAAGTAATGAAAACATAAAAATAACTTCCATCTGTTAGAAAAACAGAATAAATACATATTATAAAGAAAATTACACAAAGTAGTAGAGTGAGGCTTCCAAATCTTACAAATGAGACTGTTTTCATGAATATTTAGGAGTTACTTGAATGATCATAAATTGCATAGGCTAACGTATGTATTATTTCCATTCTCAAATCAGTTTATGATGTAGTGGAAGAGAGTATAGCTGCCAGTCTTTTATGTATGTAGACACACACAATAAAGATGGGCCTATCTGATTACAACATCTTGAATTTTATTTTCTCTTTCCGATATTGTTTGAGAGATTTGGGTAAAACGCAGGGATAATCTGAGGATGTGGCATACAGTTGGAAATAAGAGAAAGAATGAATGAGGAAAAATGGGAATTTGTGATGCTCTTTCTGTGAGAGATCTAATAATTGCTGACCTCATGTCATCACTCTTGATTTTTCTACCTTTACGAACATACTTATAAATGTAAATCTATGGTTTCCTGAATTCAGAGAAATATATTTTATTGGTGATTAGCATTGTGGAAGCCTGATGTCATTACACAGTTTTGATAATGCATAGAAGAAAGAAATGATGAAAATAAGCAGTTTACTCTAATCGAGTGAACAGATTTTATTCTGGGATTATGGGCTCACTTATACAGTCATCTCACAGTTTTATACCTGTTTTTGAACTATTGCATAATTAAAGGTGTCTTTGGGAAGTTTACATCCTAGACATATTGCCTGTTATATACCAGTGATAATAACCAAGTCGTTGTTCTAATTCAGTTCTTTAAAGTTTTAAGGAAAATACTTAGGAAAATATAAGTAGGTTTTCAATACATTAATGGTGGTAACTATTTTTTTCTTTTTTTTTTAATTTTTTTTAATTTTTTTTTATTTTTTATTTTTGATAGGCAGAGTGGACAGAGAGAGAGAGACAGAGAGAGAAAGGTCTTCCTTTGCCGTTGGTTCACCCTCCAATGGCCGCCGCTGCAGCCGGCGCACCGCGCTGATCCGATGGCAGGAGCCAGGATCCAGGTGCTTTTTCCTGGTCTCCCATGGGGTGCAGGGCCCAAGCACCTGGGCCATCCTCCACTGCACTCCCTGGCCATAGCAGAGGGCTGGCCTGGAAGAGGGGCAACCGGGACAGAATCCGGCGCCCCGACCAGGACTAGAACCCGGTGTGCCGGCGCCGCAAGGTGGAGGATTAGCCTATTGAGCCACGGCGCCGGCTTTATTTTTTTCTTAAGGATACTCATACAGATAGTCAAATTTAGCATCTAAATGATCTAATTGTAAACTTTTATGTTGGACTCAGTCCTGAATTGAGACTCCAGAGAATTCTGTTAGGGGTGAGTTATCTTTAAAATACTGTGTTTCTTGGATTTAGTTTCACCATGGGATTCTGCAAAGGATCTCTCAGGTATCTGTCATGACATACTCATTCTACAGAAGATACTAGAGCAAAATTTTAGTCAAGAATTACTGAATACCAATATTATTTTAGAGATTGTCTCATAGAAGTAGTCTGTCTCAGGGCTGGCATTGTGGCACAGTGGAGGAAGCCACGGTTTGCAATACCAGCATCCTATATCTGAGTGTTGGTTCCAGTCCCAGCTTGCTCCACTTCCAATCCAGCTCCTTGCTAATGCTCCTGAGAAAGTAGCACAAGAATCTGCCACCCATATGGGAGACCCTGATGAAATTCCATGCTCCTGGCTTTGGTCTGGCCCAGCCCCGGCTGTTGCTGCCATTTGGGGACTAAAACAGCAGAGGAGGAGCTCTGTTTCTCTCTCTGTCACTCTGCCTTTCAAATGAATAGAACACACAGTAGTCTGTGCTAATCGGTAACATTTTAAATTGTATGATTGCTGCTTGTGCTTGCTAAATGTTGAGAACAGGTAAGAGGGAGAGTGAGCAGCCTCATTTCTTGTAAATTTTGACCAAATTTAAATGAAGAGCTTTTTTTCTTTTTAAGATTTATTTTATTTATTTGAAAGGCAGAGTGAGAGAGAGAGAGAGCAAGGTCTTCCATCTGCTGGTTCGCTTTCCAAATGGCCCCAACAGCCATAGCTGAGCCAGGCCAAAGCCAGGGACCAGGAGCTGCTTCTGGGTTTCCCACATGGGTACAGGGGCTGAAGCACTTGGGCAGTTTGCTTCTGCTTTCCCAGGCCATTAGGAGGGAGCTGGATTGGAAATGGAGCAGCCAGGACTCAAACTGGTGCCATTATGGGCTGCTGGCATCGCAGGTGGTGGCCTTACCCGCTATACCACAATGCCAGCCCCAAGGAAGAGCTTTTAATTTAATATTATCCTCAGTTTGTTTATGTTGGCTTTAATTCCATCAGGTTGTTGTGTTAGCCAGTGATGAGAAAATCAACAAAGATTTTCTTTTTGGTCATAACTACATTACTAGAAGAAAGCATTTTATATTAAAGAGTTTTGTATTCCCTTAGCTTCTGTGGTCTGCAGCCTACTGAGCTTATGTTAACACATGAATAACTAATCCAGATGGCTACACTGTTAGAGGATATAAAACCAAAACCTAATTCAGGAAGCTATCCACTTGGCTCATCTTTGGATGGGTTCCATTCTAATTAGTAGTGACTTTCTCAGTTTGCTTTAAAATTTAATTTTTAACTGCATATTTTCTTGATCTTTACCTAGGTTACAAAATGTCCTCCTATGCTTGAGATCTACAGACTACATGTCCTACGAGAACTAACCAATGGTTTTTCATCTACTGGATTTATATTAGAAACATAAATATGGTGCCAAAAGAACTCCTTATCTTTCCCTGACTACGATTTATTTGGAGATGCATTTGTATTGAAGAGAGGTATACACACTAAGGATACTTGTTGTACAAAGACTGTCGTGTAGGATCATGGACCATCCTAGTAGGGAAAAGGATGAAAGACAACGGACAGCCAAACCCATGGCACAAAGGAGTGCACACTGCTCCCGACCGTCTGGCTCCTCCGCATCCTCTGGGGTTCTTATGGTGGGACCCAACTTCAGGGTTGGCAAGAAGATAGGGTGTGGGAACTTCGGAGAGCTCAGATTAGGTAAGAACTTTGTTATGTCAGTGTCTTCCACTAACTACAATAATAACAATAGCTATGATAAACTTTGGTATGTTTTAAAACAAGCAGAATTTTTTTTTTACATAGGACCTGTTATAAGACCTGTGTGTAATAGATTTTTAAAGTTTTAACTGATTTTGAGACTTGAAGATGTAGGTAGATCTGCATGCAGGTATCAGTAAAATCCAGATTTTTATTTAGTAAGTCTGAAGTAGAACCTTAAGTTATGCATTTTTAGCAAACTTCAGGTGATGCAGATGCTATTGGTCCTTCAACCTACCTTACCTTTGAAAAGGTAAGAGTGAATTTTTACTCAGTAATCCCCTGACTTAGAATGCAAAAATATGCATTCTTTTTAGAGTGTTTATCCAACAGTTACTGTTTGCATTACTTCCTATGGTTCCCAGCCTTAATATTGAATTAGAATTCTGAGGAGAAATTATGCAATTTTATTTTCCAGGCAAGGAAATGGATTTTCTATTTTAAGTATGAATTTATGAGTGAGATGACACTGTCAAAATCAACCAGTTTAAAAATGTGAAACTGGGAAGATGGTACATTGTGTATTTATCATTTTTATTTTTATGTTTTAATTAATTAAATAATTTCTTAAAGGAATACAAATTTCATTAAGTACAACTTTATGGTGGGACACCATACCCACCCTCCAACCACACTCCCACTCTCCCCTTCCCAGTCCCATTCTCCATTAAGATTCATTTTCAGTTAACTTTGTACACAGAAGGCAAACTCTATTATGTATGACGTCAGTGACCAGCCGAGACTCTTGGCATGAGTTGCCTAGGCTATGGAAGCCTTTTGAATCTACAAACTCTGTCAGTACCATAAGGCCATAAGCAAAGTGGAAGTTCTCTCCTCCCTTTAGAGAAAAGTACATCCTTCTTTGATAGACATTTCTTTCTGCTGGGGTCTCATGTTCCTTCATGTAGAACATTTTTGCCACAGTGTATTGGCTTTCCATGTCTGAAGTGCTCTCACAGGCTTTTCAACCAGATCAGGAAGCCTTAAGGGCTGATTCTGAGGTCTTAGGGTTACTTAAAGCGATTGTCATTCTATGAGTGCTGTGTGGACTGCTTCCCACGTTGTAACATTCTCTTCTTTTTAATTCCTTCTATTATCATTACCAGACCAGTTTAAAGATATGAAACTGGGAAGACAGCACATTGGGTACTTATATCATTTTGAATGGGTCTCCCTATTTGATTAGGGAAGAGAAAATGAAAGACCTGATAATTGGAGATCAGCTTAGAGAATGTAAAACAATCCCCTTTTTCATCTCAAGTGCTTTCTTTTACTTCATAGCTGTTGGAAACTGAATTACTGTGAAGATTCATTGTCATAAACTTTGACCCTTAGGAGAAGGGGAGCATGAGATGATCGTTGTTTGTTACCTCTGCTACTTCTGTTGACCCTACAGACGAAGATGGAAAAGGTCTTACCTCTGATCCTTTGCAGGGGGCCTTGAAGGCATCACTACAACAGCCAGAGATCACAATGTACAGAATTGAATTTAGACATGCTGAGAATGAATTTATTTTTACCAGTAGAAGTCTGGGAACCTGGAATTTCAAGACCTGACTAGCATAATAAAAGGGTCTTTATATTTAGAGATTTGTTCATGTTCAGGTTAGCAAAGCCAGCAGATGCTACTGAGAATAGGAGTAACGTGTGTTATTTCACACGGCTTGACTTCCTAGCAACTACTGAGTTGCTTTAGCAACTAGTTTCACGAATATTCATTTGTGTAATGGATTGACTTTGTTTTAAAAATTACAGTACTACTTGCATTAGATTATGACATAAACAACCACAAAACTATTACTGAGAGGAAATTTCTAATGCCTATAAATTTATGCATTCTCACAATATCAGAAAATTTTTCATTTTTGTGAAGGCGAAGTAAAACCTTGATCAATGAAAACCAGACATATTTAATCATTAGAATCTAAATTTTTTATATAGGAATAGAATTTTTTATATAGGAATAGAAAAATCCAGTTAAAAAGTTAGATTTTTAGCTCATGTATTTTCAGAGTAGTTTTGTTTTATTACCTCTAATGAATCTAGAATCATTTTGATATTTCTCATTTTGACTTGCGTTATAATCAGTAGAAAGAACTTGTCTTTTCAGTAATTTTATTGTGTGCTTACGAGATTTTCATATTATTATGGCCTTGTATCTAGCAATACTTTTTACCAGCAGAGGCACTTTCAGAATCATTTGATATCTTCCTACTGTCTTGCTCTGGCAATAGTAAGTAGAAGATTTTGCAGAGAATAGCAGATGTAAAGTAGGAAATCCCAGACTCAAGGCAGGTGCAGGTAGGCCTCTACCACAAGGTCCTGCTTCTCCAAACTGATTTCATTTTCTAGCCTGTCTGTACTGTCTCTCAAATGGGCAAATGCATTCCACTTACAGTTCCTTCTGCTGACAGAATTCTTTCACTAAAATCTTGCATAATTAGTTGGTTCTCATCCTTCAGGCCCCAGCTTGTATGTTACCTTCTCAGAGAAACCTTCTGTGACTTTTCCTTCTCTTCTGTTTAAAGTGAATCCCTCCTTCATTGCATTCTATCCCATTCAGCTTCTTTATTGTATTTTATTTATTTGAAAGAGTTACAGAGAGATAGAGACAGAGAGAGAAGTCTTCCATCCGCTGGTTCACTCCCCAGATGGCCGTGATGGCCGGAGCTGCACCAATCAGAAGCCAGGAGCCAGGAGCTTCCTCCGGGTCCCACACACAGGTGCAGGTGCCCAAGGACTCAGGCCATCTTCTGCTGCTTTCCCAGGCCATAGCAGAGAGCTGGATCAGAAGTGGAGCAGCCGGGTGTTGAACCAGCGCCAATATGGGATGCCAGCACTGCAGGCCAGGGTGTTAACCCTTTGCGCCACAGCTCCGGCCCTGATTAATGTGTTTTGATTCTCTGCAATTCCATTATCCATTGAACAACTACTTGTTGAGTACTTCCTGTCTGGTAAACTTTGGGAGGGAGTGAAATGTAGTTTCTGTCCCCAATACTACCACAGTCTAATGGTGGAGAGAAAAAGAACAATTACAATACCAAGTGATGAGTATTATAATAGCATAAAAACTGTATTATCAGAGATGATTAATGAACATTTTAGAGAGGAGTATCACTTGATAATTGGACAGGAATTCCACTGGTGGGCTCAAGGAGGACAGGATCTCCAGTTGCAGGATGCATGGGCACTAGGTGTTTGAAAGTACTCAGCATATTATTAGAGCAGCAGCTAGTTACTCATGGCTGAGTCACAGGATGTGAAGTAGAAGAGTAATAGATGAAGCTGCTAGGAAAGTTGAGACCAGATTGTAAAGTGTTTGCATGTTATTAAAGCATTTGGACTTGCTCTTATAGGCAATGGGGTGGAATCATCAAGGATTTCATAACAAAGGAGACATGGTCTTCTAGAAAGATGATTCAGGTAGTTGCAAGATTAGATTATATAGAAAAGAACTTGATGTTTAACAGATTTTGCTCTAATTATGGTACTTAACCACACTGTACTTTCTTTTCCCATCTCTAACTCAAGATATGAATGACAGATAGTACTTTGTGCATCTTCATATTCTAAAGTCCTTTCATTGTGTATGGGTTATAATCCTCTAGTACTTGTAATGTTTGGCCAGGTCAGAGATGGCACAATCTTAGTTCTTAGCTCTGAAAATGGAAAGCAAGATGAATACAGGAAGTAAGATAGACAGAGGAAGGGGCAAATTTACAGGGAAGTTTCAAAACAGGCAGTCTTTTATTTTCCCCCAGAAACCTTTTATTTAATGAATACAAACTTCATGCATTTTATAAATACAATTTTAGGAATATAGTGATTCTTCCCACTATATCCGACCTCTTACCAACCCTCTCACCCCACTCCCTCCTCTCTCTTCTATTCCCATTCTTTTTTTTTTTTTTTTTAACTAAGCTCTATTTTCGATTAACTTTTTACACATACAGTAAACTCTGTACTAGGTAAAGTGTTCAACAATTGTATGGAAAAAAAAAATAACTGTTCCTCAACAGTCGAGACAAAGAGCTGTTCAGATCATTGTATGTCAAGTGTTAATTTCACCTCTATAGATTAACTTTTATCAATCTTTTTTTTATGCATGGCATCAACAACCAAAGTGCAGTAGAAATGAGGCTGCTGACTTTGCTTTCTTTGTGTTATATCAATATCTTTTTTGCATTGTGTGGCATATAGATTACCTTTTAAAAATTTTTTAAGTTTTGACAGGCAGAGTGGACAGAGAGAGACAGAGAGAAAGGTCTTCCTTTTTTTGCTATTGGTTCACCCTCCAAGGCCGCTATGGCCGGTGTGCTGCAGCCGGCGCACCGCCCTGATCTGAAGCCAGGAGCCAGGTGCTTCTCCTGGTCTCCCATGGGGTGCAGGGCCCAAGCACTTGGGCCATCCTCCACTGCCTTCCTGGGCCACAGCAGAGAGCTGGCCTGGAAGAGGGGCAACCGGGACAGAATCCGGTGCCCTGACCGGGACTAGAATCTGGTGTGCGGGCGCTGCAGGTGGAGGATTAGCCCTAGTGAGCCGCCGCGCCGGCCTATAGATTACCTTTTAAGTGTTCTATTAGTTATCACGGATGAGGGAAAACATATGGTATTTGTCCTTTTGGGATTGGCTTATTTCACTAAGTATGATGTTGTCTAGTTTCTTCCATTTTTTGCAAAGAACAGGATTTTATTTTACTTTTTACCACTGTGTAGTATTCTGTGGTGTACAAATCCCATAATTTCTTTATATAGTCTTCAGTTGACTCCATATCTTAGCTGTTGTGAATTGAGCTGCTGTCGCTCCCCCTCTTCGTGGAGGAACGACACAGGACCCTGCGCTGTTCTTTCGTCTGCTCGGCCCTCCCCGGGTTTGCTGCTGGTTCTTCCCGGGTTGGCTACCGTCCCTTCCACCTCCGTGGAAGGGCGGTTCCCCCTAGC